TTAAAACATTTACTGATGAAGATCAAAGAGCACAGCCTTCAGTATGGATTACATCTCAATGTAAAGAAAACAAAAATCCTCACCACTTGACCAATAAATAGCATTCTTAACAACAAAGAAAAGATTGAAGTTGTCAAGGACTTCATTCTTCTTGGATCAACCATCAACACTTATGGAAGTAGCAGTCAAGAAATCAAACGATGTATTGTATTAGGCAAATTTACTGTATAAGATCTTTTTAAAGTGTTGAAGAGCAAAGATGTCAGCTTGAGTACTAAGGTGCGCCTGACCCAAGCCATGGTATTTTTCAATAACCTCATATGCATGTGAAAGCTGGATAGTGGATAAGGAAGACTGTAAAAGAATTGATGCTTTTGAGTTATGGTGTTGGAGGAGAATATTTAAAGTGCCACGGGCTGCCAAAAGAACCAACAAATCCGTGTTGGAAGAAGTGCAGCCAGAGTGCTCCTTGGAGGCCAAGATGGCCAAACTTCGTCTCTCATACTTCAGACTTATTGTCAGGAGACACCAGTCACTGGAGAAGGATATCATGTTTGGTAAGGTGGAGGGTCAGAGAAAAAGGGGAAAACCCCCAACGAGATGGATTGGCCAAGTGGCAGCATCAATGGACTCAAGCTTGGCAACAGTAGTGAGGTTGGCCCAGGATCGGGTAGTGTTTTGTTCTGCTGTGCATAAGGTTGCTGTGGGTCGGTACTGACTATGGCACTTGACCACTCTTCAAGTCTGGAATGGAATTCAACCCCGTGACCCAATTTTCAGTCAAGCAGTAGATAGGTGTATATGGGCAACAATACTTGTAAGATATGCTCACCATGGAGCAGTCAATCATTTCAAATCAAAAGGGCAACATTTCCCTAAGGACAAAGTTGAGAAGGGATGGAAAGGAAGGTGGAATGGTAATAGGAACCACAGAGAGGAAGTGAGATAATTGTTGTTGCATGGAGGGGACTGCAATCATTGAGATGAAGCAAAGTATAAGATTTGTTGAATGTAAAACTGATTATTTTATTTGTAAACCTTCACTCAATTCAAAATTCAAAGTTAGAAAAAGAGAGACTACATGGTTTAAGTATATATCCATAGATGGTCACCTCTGTGAATATCTTTAAATTGAATTTCGTGGCGTTGTACTTAACATCTCCTCAGTCGAAGTGAGTGAATGAGTGAGTTGGTATAATTTGCTTTTCTTGCTTAGTAATTATTTTTTTTATCTCTTCTCAGAGAGAATGTTATGATTGGATCAATACATGTGCTCTTCTCCTTTCTGAACTAAAAGGCAGAAAAATAATATTATTGAACCCTGAAGAAGTAGAACACCTATTTGGAGAGGAGGTATTTGCCATGTGTTACATTGGTCATTATTCATGTTCCTTCTTGTGTGTCAGTAGGTAAGGGTTCAGTGACTTTTTCCAGTCAGTGTTCCGAATCTCCATTTACTTACCCTACCAGAAGAGAGAATGGGGAGAATTAGCAGTGCTTCTCCCTTATAAGGAAGATAGTCATCTACCCAAACATCTTACCTCAATTTAACAGATGCATTTAACTCTTGTTTCATAAAGGAAAGAATGGTTTTCAGATGGGAGCTCCCTGATTATTCTGAGACATATCCATAGACTTATCTGCATCTACACTCACTCTTCCCTCCGCTCCTCTAGTGGCAGTTATTTCTTCCTTTGAGCCTGTAATCCCATCCCTGATGTCTTCTCTCTTTTATATCTTTAATGTCTTCTTATTTAATGGTTCAGTTCTATTAACTGTCCAGTCTGTTGTTGTTAAGTGCAGTTGAGTTGGTCCTGACTCATAGTGATCTTGTATAGGGTTTCCAAGGACTGACTGTTGGTTTGAACTGCTAACTTTGTGATTAGCAGTCTAGTGTGTACCCACCTGGACTCAGTCTATAAGCATGTCTGTTTCTCCCATTCTGGAGTTTGTTTCCTCTACTATGTTCTTTCTCATTCCTCTCTGTTACAATCACTTTTCTTAAAACTAAAATTGCTGTAAGATCACCAGAGATTCCTTATGTGTAACTTTGGACCCTGCTAGCCATTCACTTCTTTTAAAAATTTCTCTCTACAAAACAAAACTTCCTTGGTGTTCTTCATACTTTTTAATTTATCTTCTCTCTTGTTAATCTTCATAGTGTAGTGTTAGAAATGTAATGAAGTACCACACACATAATCTTGACTGTGTTTCAGATCTAGATTTTAAAAATGGAGAATTTATACAGAATCATAGAGACTTGAGAACAGAAGGTTATCAAATTCAGCCAGCCATCTCATGCATGAAATGTAATATAACAGCCACATTTGGTGATTCTGCCCAAGTTTGAATAGCTGAAACTGCAAAGAACTACTTTCAGAAATAAACCATACATTTTTCGTACAGATTGTTTTTTTTTTGTTGTTAAGCACTGTTGAGTCAGTTCTGACTCATAGCAACCCTGTATAGGGTTTCTGAGGAGCAGCTAGCAGTAGGTTTGAACTGCCAACCTTGTGGTTAGTAATTAAGTGCTTATCCTATGACACCACACCAGAACTCCTCTATTAGAACATTACTCTTTCTATTAAAATGCAACTCCATATAGCTTTTTCTACTCACTGGTAGAAAAGACTGTTTAGTGTTTGGGGTTGACGAGAACAAGGCTGATGGATTTCCCACATGATAGTATTTCCAATATTTGAGAAAAAAATATTCAGGGTAAGTCAGTCTATTTTTTGTTATTTTCCATTGCTCACTTAGTCATTAGCCATTTCTCATATTTTTAACTATTGAGGCTTTATAGTATATTTTCATATCTGATAGAGTCAGTTCTCCCCACATTGATCTTTTTTAGGTATTTCATCACTAATCTTGCTTATTTATTCTTCTCTGTAACTTTTTAACCTAGCTCTAGAAAAAATAAGATTTTTTAAAAACTGGAGTAAAATTAAAGTTAAATACTAACACAATAGACCTGTTGATGTTGAGTCATCTTTTCCAAGAACATGGGAAATACATAGGGCAGCTCATTTATGTCTTTCAATAATACTTTATAGTTGTTCACTTTGTACATTTTTTTGTTAGATTATGCCTGGCCACTGTAGTTTACTTTTTGCTTTTGAAATGGAGTCTTTTTTCCCATTATGTTTTTAAACTCATAACTATTTGTCTATGTGCTGTTGATTTCTATATTTTAATTTTGTATGCTGTAACTGTCTTACTGCTTTTGGTGGTTTTCCATTAATTCTTTTGGATTCTCCAGATATTTAATAAGACTATCTAAAATTGTAGGTAGTTTTAACTCCTGCTTTATAGATTATTATGCTTCCAATTACTTTTTTCTTATCTAATTTAATTAAATAGTATTTCCAATTCAGTGTTAAATCATGAACATAGTAAACATATAAGCATATTTATCTTATTTTTTTACTATAGCAGGAATGCCTCACTGATTTACCTTTAAGGAATATGCTTACATTGGAGTTGATTCATTTATTTAGTTTATCATTCCTCAGACATCTCAGGCCTTTGACTTGGGATCACTGTCCTTCTACTTGAACCTTTAGAATTGTGTTTAGTGAGGATCTGCTGGTAGCAAACTTAATTTTTGTTTGTCTGAAGGTGTCATTTCATTTTCATTCTTAAAATATTTTTTTGCTGGGTATACAATTATAAGATAGTGTTATCTTCTCTTAGCATGGTGATATCTTCGGTGTTATATGACTTTGTTTGTTTGTAACCACAGTGACAACTAGGAATTCACCAGTCAGTTCCTTTGAAGTTAACTCATCACTTCTCTGTGGCTACTTTTAATATCTGGGTACTTTTAACATGTAGTTTTTTGATCTTTGTAATTTTACTGATACAGCTTGTGGACTTTCTTTTTTTTTTCTTTCTCCCTCTAATTTTTATTAGGGTTTCACTTGATTTCCTGAATTATTTGTTAAGTATTTTTCTAGAAAATTTTTAGTCATCATTCTTCAAATATTGCCTCTCCCATATTCTTTCTCTTTCTTTCTGAAACTCTGAATGGGTATTTGTTCAACTCTATCCCTCATGCTTTAAAAAATTCTTTCATATTTTCTGTCCTTTTGCCTTCTTGAATTGCACCCTGGATAATTTATCCTAGTTTATCTCCAATTCACTGATTTTTTTCTTCAGCTAAGTTATTTCAACATTTTTGTTAAAATTTTCAGTTTAATAATTAAAGTTCTATTTAGTTACCTTTTAAGTCTCAGAATTTTTGTCATCCTTTGGTCTTTACTCATAATTGCCATCTCTTTCATATCTTTGAGCACATTAAGTATAATTTTAACATATCTGATTATTCTAATATATATCTATATAAGAATTGTTAATTATAGCACTAATTATTAATAGTAAAAACTATCAGAAACAATATAAATGTTGATCAGTGTCGTTATGCCATTCACATAATGTTGGAATTCTGTATAGGTGTTTATGTAGTGTGATGAGTAGATGCTTATATAATGAGATAAAAATCGTCTGTGATACACTATTGAGAAAAGTAGATTATAGAATATAGCATATAGTATTATCTCATTTATGTTAAGATATTTATGCATAAAACATGGAAGAATGTTTTTAAATTCATAGAAATTATTACTTGAGAGTCTTAATTTCTCTGTATTTTTAATATTTTTTAACAGTCATATGTTATTAGGAAAAAGTAGTATCTATCTTGGAAAAATATCCTAATATGTTATAGATATTTTTGTACTCCATATATATATTTCTACAACACAATTTTGAGGAGTTTGGTGGCCCTGAAGGATGAACAATGGACTGTGAACCACAAGATCAGTGGTTCAAGCCCACCAACCTCTCCATGGAAAAAGATGAGGTTTTCTGCTCCTGCAAAAATGTAAAACCTTAGACACCCTATATAGGGTCCCTATGAGTTGGTAACAACTCAAGGCACTTAACAACAACAAACAACATAATTTTAAATTGCTACATTTTGTTTGGAGCTTATGCCATAATGTATTTAAATATTATCCTGTTGTGGAAAATGCACTTATTTCTAGCTTTTGTATTCTAAACATTGCTGCAATAAAAATCCAAAAGACATTTTCAGTCTTAGAGTCCATGTCCTAGCAGCCTTAGACTCTTGGACTCCAGGGAAAAAAATAAATAAATAAATAAATTGAATAGACTTCTTTAGGTATTCAACACTGTTAACTCCTCTCTTGGTTCTTCTGGAAGCCTGTCACATTTCTGAGGCAAATTTTTGCCTCCTTTTTAGGTTCCTCCTTCTTCCTTAGATCTTTATGTACCCGGAGTCCTGTCCTAAGGCCTTATTACTTTATAAATTCTACTTTGGTGATCTGATTTGCTGTGTTGGCTTCAACTAAATGAAGATAATTGAAATGGTCAAATCTTTGTTTTTAGCCCAGACCTCTCCTTCTAAACTCCAAGTCCATTTGTTGGATGTTTCCACTAGGGTGTTTCAGTGATAACAAGCATACATGGGCTACTACGACCTCACTCTCCCCATACCTGTTTACCTAACTTTGTATCTTACATTTGTGAATGGGCATCAACATTTGTCTAGTGTCCTAAACCACAAAATAGGTGTCATCACAGATGCTCCTTTTCCCTAACTGCACCACATCCATTAAATCAACTGCTAAGAATTATTTTCTAAATTCATCTTCATTTTCTCTTCATCTTCATTTCTGCAACCACTGTGTCGTTTTCTCCTTTTCCTACTCTGTCTCATTTTCTCCTTCCTTTCTTTTGTCTTCTTTCAGTCTCTTCTCTTGTTGCTAGAGTGATTGGTTTAACATGCAGAACAGATCAATTTATTGGTACCTCATTGCTTTCATGAGAAAATCTAGTCTCCTGGTCATGGCAATCTAGTCCTTCCTTTTATTGCACTTCACTGCATCTGCTCCTCAGTTTCTGTGCTACCAAGTAAAACTACTAAACCAATTATGACCTTACAGCACCCACTACCTAGAACTCCCTTAGTGACACCTTTCCTTTGTTCATCTATCAAGAAGAAACTCAGACATTGTCCCCTCCAGGAAACTTTCCTGACAAGTTAACTGCCCCCGTTTTCCACCCATGTCTACTAGTACCAGGTCTAGATTAGGTGCTCATATAAGACAATATATGGGGACTTCAAAAAGTTGGTGGAAATATTCCATTATTTTTAAATTTCATTTTTCCATGCACTTTTTGAAGACTCCTTCATATATAGCCATATCATCTTCTTGTCCACTAAATGGCTAGCTTCTTAGGATTAACTCTTATTAACCTTTGTATCTTTATAGCTAGCATGGAGTTCAGTTGCAGTATTAGTGCTCTTTGGATATTTTTTAATGAATTATTTCTAAGATATAAGGGGGCTTCAAAAAGTTTATAGAAAAATTCCATAATCTTTCATTAGTATTTTTTCATGAACTTTTAAAAGCCCATTTGTAGTACTAAAATATTTAAATGCACTATATTTATATACACCAATGTGTAATTTTAATATTGCTTTATCTCACAGTACTCTATAAAAGAATTCATTGACCCTGAATTAGATACATCTTCTAAAGAAGAAAGTCTGAAAATAAAAAAAGAAGAGAAAGCAGAAGAGGTAAGATTCTTTAGTATTCTTTTTCCTTTCTCTTTTTAAAAATACATATGTGTATATATATCCCATGGAAAACAGAAATAGGCCATCTGCCTAGACCTGCTTAGAAATAGGTCATATAGAGATATAGAGTGAACTCTTGTAACTTCTTTCCTATCCTCAACTAGGTTTAACTAAATCTGCAGGCATATTTCCCTAAGGGCTCTCTGGCAGTACAGTGGTTAAGCACTCTGCTGCTAACACAAAGGTCAGCAATTTCAACCTACCAGTTGACTGAATCGTCACACAAGACTATGATCCTAAATCTTTGAACCCAGTAAACCAATCCTGGGAGGTGTTTGGTTATGTCTAAGAAGTATTCATAATATCCCTTATGTGCTTTATTACATATATGAATTTATATACAGCATACACATACATTTATATACATGTGCTTATAGATGCAGCTGTTCCACGGAAGAAAGATGAAGCATTCTGCTCCCATAAAGATTTACAGACTCGGAAACCCAGTACAGGGTAGCTATGAGTCGGAACCGACTCAAAGGCACACAGCCACCACCACCACCACACATATACACATATATACACCTTGTTGTTGTCATTACTAAGTACCATCAAGTTGATTGCAATTTATATCATCCTTGTATAGGGTTTCCAAGGAGCGACTGGTAAGTTTGAGCTGCCGACCTCGTAATTCAAACCCACCTTGCAGTCCTGCACTTATCCTACAGTGCCACACTTACTCCTTACTTATTGACTGTCTTTGTTATCCAGCATCTCACATTTATGATAGCAGTAAAAAACCTACTATTTGCCTGTTTTGTGCATATGTCTGTCAGTAACAAACACCAAGGTGTGAGACGAGAATAACACTGGCTGTGATAGTTATGTGTCCATTTGACTGGGTCATGATTCTCAGTGGTTTTGCTGTTCTGTAATGTTATAATTTTGAAGTTATGTAATGATATAATCTTCAAGTTATGTAATGATATAATCTGGCAGTGATGTAATGATGTAGTCATTCTCCATTTTGTGATTTGATTTTCACATTATAATCTGGTCTTTGGAAACTCACCATGTTGATAAGTGAGGAGGGGTGTACACACATATACCTGCCCATATACATACTCTTTGATTGTTGTTGCAAGATTATTTGTTATGTTGTTGTTGTTAATTGCCGTTGAGTCAGTTCCAACCCATAGCGACCCTGTATAGGGTTTCCGAGGAGCTGCTGGTGAGCTTGACCCACCAACCTTACAATTCAAACAGCTTTGCAGTCTGACA